GAATATCCGAATATTCGTTCGTTGGACTACTATTCGGGTTTCAATTTCGTTATTCGGATATTCGTTTTGTTTTTCCCCCGTTTTTTTTTCAAATTGAAATTATTGAAATTTCCAATATCAAAGTAAGAGCTTGTGCCTCTTTGGGGGGTGCTAACACTTAACCATAAACGTTATCGTTTACTTTCTCCGTCTTTATATGTAGATATTACTTTTCTCCGTTAATCTCAGTCACGTTGTTTCCATAGCAACAACAACTTCCTGTCGACTCCGCTAACTCTCCTTCAAAATAAAAGCATGTCCATACAAAATAGGAAGCCAAGCCAAATTACCCTTAAAACATATAAAAGTGCAACGAAAGTAATACACACAATGCGATATATATATCCCTCCCCCCCCCCGCGCGGGCCGAATATTCGAATATTCGCTGCTGATTACTATATCCGGAGCCCAAAAAAAGGTATTCGGGACAGTCCTATGAATATATATATACAGTATATGAATATACACCTCAATATATATCCTCAAATGTAAGCTTTGTTTCATTCCATATCCTATACTGCTCGAGAGTACATGTTTTTAATTTATTTAATTTTATTTTCTGATTATTATAGCTGATATTCAGTATAACAATTGGATAATTAAAATTTTTCCTGGAACAAATCGACCAATGGAAATTGTATGACAGGTGTTTCATGCACATCCAATAACAAAACTGCCTCCATATGTGTTACAGGTCTATCATGTCTGACATCCAGAGGGACAACAGAGTTGTTTCTTTGAGCTCAAGGGCTGGCATCAGAAACTCTCTGGTCACCATACTGGATCAGCTGCAGCGCTGCCAGAAGTCACTCAATGAGTTCCTGGAGGTACACACGCACGCACGCACGCACGCACGCACGCACGCACGCACGCACACACACACACACACACACACACATTTTTTCATGCAAAGACGGTAAGAATCACTACTCTTTTTATCGTGTTTTTCGCAGGAGAAGCGCTCTGCCTTCCCACGGTTCTATTTCATAGGAGATGATGATCTGCTAGAGATTCTCGGTCAGGCAACCAACCCAACTGTAATCCAGTCACACCTCAAGAAACTCTTTGCAGGTCACATCTGTTTTGTTTTGTCCTTCTTCATTATTTTCTCCTCTTTTCGGTTTTCCTTTCCTCTGCTCGTCTCTCCCCCTTGTATTGCTTGTATCATAGCATATCCTGACAGTGAAGATAATTGGTGTGTGTGTTATCCTCGCAGGCATCCACAGTGTTGTGTTTGATGAGCAGTGTCAGCACATTGTGGCCATGTGTTCTTTGGAAGGAGAAATCGTGCCTCTCAGAAACCTAGTACGCATCTCCAGCCTCGTGGAGGTAAAGTCTATGTGAATTGATGTTCTGTGTTGTAGGTAGGAGATAGATAATAATAGGTTGCAGACTCTTCAGCTTTGCATGTTTATGTTTCTTGGAAATCGAGCATACTGTATTCATGTTTTAATGAAATTATTGTTTGTGGTTGTTTTCGTTGAACTCCTTCCTAGATGTGGCTAAGTGAGCTGTCTGTGGAAATGAAGGAGACTCTGAAGCACCTGCTGTATGAATGTCTGTCAGCAGGGAGGAAAGGGAACGTGGACCCCTCACGCTACCCCTCACAGGTACACACACACACACACACACACACACACACACACACACACACACACACACACACACACACACACACACACACACACACACACACACACACCTAACCCCAACCAACCCCAATACTTTACTCAAGATGAGAGGCACAGTGTCAGTAATATGTGACCCAAGATATGAAATAACTGAACTGTCCTTTAAAGCATCATATCAGTGTCAAGTGTCTGAAACATCTTTTTTTTTGGTTTAGATTCTGTGTCTGGCTGAGCAAATTCAATTTACTGAAGATGTGGAAAGAGCTCTAAAAGAGCAGAATTTGCAGCAGCTGGAGCTGGAGCTCAGTGCCAAATTAGAACACTACACTACGGTGGACACCAGCTCTGATGATCAAGCTAATTCAGGTACTACTGTCTCTGCTTGTCTGTATGCATTGGTTAGTGTATGTGTGTCCTGGTTCTAAGACAGAGGTCACTTCAATGTATTGACTTGCAAGACATTAACTGTAGCTTTCCAAGTTACTTGCAGGGATTGACTGCTTTTATTAACCACCAGAGAGAAACCTCGTGTTTGTTTTTACTCATCTTTCAACATCTTAATGCACCCTAAGTAGGCTATATTGTATGCTTACATGTAAGCTATAGCAACATCAGATGAAAATATACAAGGGCTATGTGACCGATTGATAGGAGGTGTCTGACCTCTATTGACTAAAATAAATACATTTACCTTGATGCATTTCATACATGTGGAATATATAAAGTTAATGAGGACATTGATGGTATGAATACAAATTGTTTGTATGTGTAAACTCGGTGTGGGTTAAATATCTACACACACTAGGTTCTGATCTTTATAAGCTTTGCGTGTTCATTTTTGTTTCGTTCTAGTGCAAACCCTCTTACCATATTCTTGAATGTCCATAATTTAAGAAGTCATTCAAAATCAAGATGTTTTAACATCTGTGATAAAAATACAAACTCAGAAATGCTAAATAATGTTCAGGGTATTGTTCTGTTCTTCAACCCCCTTTTATATTTTCTATATTTATTTGCTAATCACATTCCTGTTGATACTAATCTCCCCAAATTGCCAATCTCTATAAACACTTGTCACTTCCCACTTGCCTTTTGTTCCACTATCAGACTCCCTCTTGTGTTAGTAATGATTTAGCTCTGATCAGCATCTTGGGTCGTTACTTAGGGCTGAAGGATCATGCTCTTGTGTGAATCTGTTGATAGCCAGTGAGTCTGGAGAGGCTGCAGAGGGGCAGATGCAGCCGCTGGCAGGCTCATTTAATGTCTCAGGGCTGGATATAAAGCTACATTAAACATGACAGCAGAGGTTTTTTTTCCGAACTTGAATTTGTAAAAAGGACTTTTTAAATTAAAATCAAGGTTTCTTATTCATGCATGAGATAAAAAAAAGCTCTTCCATAACTCTGGTAGTGGCATCATTTCACGGTACATTGCTACCAAATTCCACATTTCTGTGTCATGAAAACGTATCTATGATAACAGTGCTTGTTTCACTCGCACCGCGTGTGACTGGTAGCACATTTCTCTCATCGGTTAGTTCGATTTTTTTTACTTTTCTGACATAATTATAAAGTATTTCAGCAGTGCGCGGTGATGAAGGTTAGGATATTTGTCGATAAAATGGTTTGTGTTCCGTCTGTCTTGCATTCAACCCTCCACGCTTGAAATAAAGCTCACTTTCATGATAACATCTCTTCAAATGACTGACTTCCTAAAACAACCAGGTAGGCTGAAGAGGCTTTGGAGTGGCAGTATTGATTAAAGTGGCTAAAGTAATGGCAAGAAGGATAATCTAATTACCCAATCTACATGAATGGGCCATAAACCATGGTGGGGAGTGCGAATGAACTTCCCTTTGGCACACAGACAAGACAAGATGGTGTTCATTTGGCAAGGTATTTCAATGCTTCCTGGGCTGACATCACTGAAGCATTTCTACCGAACATACAAAGCATTCAAAGCGCCTACCTAGTACATCTGTCCCGTGTAATTTACGGTATGCAATCCCAACTTCAGAGCTGTACGTGAAAAAGCACAGTGAAGATTTATGATTCAAAGATCCAAGCCCTAAATCTTGCATATAAAATACTCCTACTTTTGCTGGAGACTGGCAGAAGAACACAATTCACTTGATTTGATATTGTCATCTTGACTTTTACATATTGGTATGCATAAATAAACATATTGAGTTAGGATGAGCACAAAGATATCCAAAACAAACTTTATCTAATATTCTTTTGTATTTAATTATTTTCTATTTTTATTTTACATTTATTTATCAGCCGTAACATTATTCTATTTTTAAATGTACAGGGGGAATTTAATGGTTCAAAGTACCAATCACCATTTTCTTCAAGATACATTTTTTTGGTTTTGCCTTTATTGGAGAGAAAGGACATATTGACCAATAGGGTGGTAGAGAGAAGAGACGACATGCAGGAAAGGGCCACGGTTGGGACGCTCTCTTTGAATGGGACGCCCCTATATTCCTTCTTTTGGCGGTTTATCCAGTTTGTAATATTGACTTTCCAGATGATCAGTTTGGCTGAATTAATGTCTGATAAAATGTTTATAGAGACAAGTCCTGTTGTCCTCACCAATAGTAACTGTTCTGCATTACGACTTGAAACAGCTTCCCTTACAACTGTAGAGACGCTGATTTTACGATAACATAAAAGCTACTGCCACTCTGTCAGCTTACAATGAACTCCATCCATCTATCCACAGCATTTAAAATGAAGTTGGTTATTTGTATCTTTTTTACCAATTCCACCATCCTGGTATTCTGACACGTCTTCCTGTACAGAGACCAGTGTCCTGCAGTTGAAGCTGAAGGCGTTGATTCTGGATATTATTCACAACATCAGTGTGGTGAAGCAACTGAACCAGGCAGGGGTGACCAGCGCTGATGCCTGGGCCTGGAAGAAGCAGCTCCGCTTCTACATGGGAACAGACAAAGGCTGCCTTATACATATGGTGGACGCACAATTCAGCTACACATATGAATACCAGGTTCGTTGGCATGTACATACATACACCTGTATACACTCTTTGTATTTCACCAAATGGACACAACTTGATGTTTCCCGGGCTGCAGTTAAGCTTTTTTGAGACTTAACTTTTGATCAGTTAGCTGTTACTTTAATGAGTATAAATAAGCTTGATTAGAATTCAATCTGCAATGTCTTGAAAGAGAGGAAAGCAGGAAGCCTCTCTAATTAAATTGACTAATTGATCAATTTGATTTCAGATTGACTTGCTAATTCTCTGATTCACATTCACGATACACATTTCAGCCTTCTGTGAAACCCGCTATAAACAAATACCGTCCGCATAATTGAAATATTCTTACTGCAATTCCTCGTCAAATACATATAAGGAGCGCTAAAGCATAAACTCTGAAAAGACATACTGCCAACTGTACAAACTGTATCGTACTCGTGTCAGTGTACCCATTCACGCTTTACCTAACCCAGTCCATAGTTATACATTGATTAATACATATAAAGTTCTTTAATCATTAATGTAGTCATCTAAAAATCTTGTTTAAACAGTGATTGGTTACCACTATCAATTAAAGAACAGTGTGTCCCGTTCAGAGTTTCACAAAATATGTTTGGTTACAGATATAAAGCTCCACTTCCTATCTTTCACCTTTAGGGGGCACTGTTTATGCAGAGATGAAGAGCACTGAAGATACCTTGCTTTATTCCCCCTCTGCAGAATCTTCAAGATAACACAAGCAAGACTCACAGTCTCCCTCATTTTCATTCTCTGCCTGTTATCATTTGTTTTATAATTCCTTCCTTTTTCAATCCATCATCTGTCTGTTTGCCTTTCTCCTCCACTGAATCCTCCCCCCCTTCTTTTATCCCTTCCCACTCTTCCCTCACTCACCATATCGTCATTTCTATCTCACTGTGTTTTTTGTGTCACTTGATTTCTCTCTGTAATGCTCACTTTCTTCTCCACCCTACCTCTCGTGTCTCCCAGGGGAATGCGGCCAAGCTGGTGCACACCCCGCTGACTGATAAGTGCTACCTGACTCTGACCCAGGCCATGATGATGGGACTTGGGGGGAACCCCTATGGGCCTGCTGGCACGGGCAAAACGGAGTCGGTCAAAGCCCTGGGGGGGCTGTTCGGACGCCAAGTGCTGGTGTTCAACTGTGATGAGGTATGAAGAGTTTGTAGAGAATATATACAGGGTTAACATTTCAGCCTAAATTACAAAAGTATGCTATAAATGTCATACATATCTAAATGTATTTCCTTTTTAATAACACACCAATAAGACTGGTAATTGAGAACACATGAGAAGGTGCCTTCTCCAGTTTTACATTCATCTGTGTTTCAGGGCATCGACGTGAAGTCAATGGGTCGGATCTTCGTGGGCTTGGTGAAGTGTGGAGCGTGGGGCTGCTTTGACGAATTCAACCGCTTAGAGGAGGCAGTGTTGTCTGCAGTTTCCATGCAGATTCAGGCCATTCAAGACTCCCTCAAACATCACAAGAACTCATGTGAACTGCTCGGGAAGGAGGTCAGAAAATAAGAACAGATTCAGACAAATATTTCAGATGCTAAAAAATGACTTACTACAGGCATCAAAAAATGCTTTTA